GACCTGCGGGCGACGCGGGCGCAGTCGCCGCCGCCGCCCCCCCCCCCCCCATTCCCCCCTGCGGCGCGCCCAGAGCCGCGCCCCGACGCCCGCGCCGGCGTTGGCGACGGCGCGGGGGAAAAGAGTGCGCCTGTGGGCGCGCGTCCGCCTCCTCCGCAGCCTTGGCGCCGCCGCCGCCCCTTGCCCCCGCTGACCATGCCCGACGGGGTCGGCGGCCGCGCGGGGGGCGGGGGGGCGGGGGCGCGTCGCGGGGGGCGGGCGCCGCCCGAGCAGCGCCCCAGAGTCCTTTCTGGAGCTGGCGCTGCTGCGCCCGCGGGAGTCCCTCCAGCGGTCAGGGCAGCACAGGGTGGCGACGCATCCCCTTCGGGGCGCTCAGCGACCCTCTTCACCCCGCTGCACCCGCTCCTCTCGGGACAGCGATCGAGGGAGGGGCTGCGGGGGCCTTGATGCGTGGGATCGCGCGTCGCTGGGAATGGCAGCAAGCACTGGTGCAGCACGTGCAGGAGGCTCGATCCATCCCGAGGGCGGACTCCGGACCTTGCTCGGGCTCTGGGGGTGGAGCCGTCCGCGGTCACCCCCGTGGCAGTGCTCCAGGATTTTCGCGAGCGCAGTCCGCTGGGGGCCCGCCCAGCGACGCGCGAGATGCTCGCCCATTTCGCGCGGCTGAGCGCGGGGCTGTGGCGCGCGCCCGAGAGCGGGGGCGCAGGCGGGGCGGGGGCCCTGATCAGTTGCCAGCGCGCTTTCCTCGACCAGCTAGCAGGGGGCCGCGGCCGCCTGGGGGCCGCTTGGTTCCTGGCCAGGCTCGAGGCGCCCCCGGTGCAGGCGACTCGTGTCCACGCGGAAGGGGGGCCCGGATGTTTTTCTTCCCGCATGCGGATCCTCGCTGGTTGTCGGCTCGGGGCGGAGGAGATGGCGCTCTTCCGTTCTCGCCTCGATGCCGAGCGGGCGGGGCAGGCGAAGGCCTCCCCGGCAACCGAGTCGAAGACCCCGCCCGCGGCAAAGCCCGCGCGATGGAAGTCTTCCCCGAAGGGCACCCCTCAAGAAGGCCAGCGGGGCCCGACAGGGGGAGGCCGCGCGCTTCAGAGCGCGCGGTGGCCGAGGGCGGGGGCCGCGACGAGCTGATGTTTCTGGCGAGGTTGCGACCGCCAAGGGCGCCTGGGCTGAGCGGAGCCGCGGCCGTGCGAATGCGCTACTCCAGCGATGCCGTTGCGGCCCCGCAGGGAGATGCGCGCTCCGCGGTCGCGGCCCTCGCTCCGCCCCGGGCCTCGAGCTTGGGCGGAACCTGCGGTTCTTCCTTGCCCCGGCCGTGCGGATGCTGGTTCGCCCGCCACCAGCGCCGTTTCTACGGTCGCGCCCTTCGTCGCCGACCTTTCTGCCTTGCTGCGCTTATTTCCAGGCGCGAACGTCGATGGCACCCACTGGGCCGCTGCGCTGGCCTAGGTGGGGCAGGTGCTCGGTGTTCTCTCGCCTTTTTCCTCCGCCCATCCCTGCGTGCGCCAGTTCGGGGTGCCCCTCCTTCCGATGGGGAATTCCCCCGCGATCCCTGGCCGCGCTCTCCAGCCCCTGCCCTGGGCCCCCCCGCGGCGGCGTCGACGGGTCGCTCTCGCGAGCGCCGGCAGCTGATGCGCGCCGCGCGCGCGCTGGCGGAGCGCGCTGTGACTGCGCTTAACTGGCTGACTCTTGGGAAGCCCAGCCTCGCGCCCCCAGGGGCTCGCGCGCGCGCGCGACGGCCCCCCCTCGCCAGGAGGGCGCGCGGAACCACGTCGAGCGGCTCTGCATGATCGCAGTTCGCTTTGCCCAGGGGCAAGAGCGAGTTGGGTCGGGCGTTCGCGAAGTTAGACGCCGCCGAGGCCTCGCTCCATGGTCTGGCCACCCACGCTGCAGCTCTCGAGGCTTCTTCGACAAAAAAAGCACGACACCGCTCCACCTGCGGCCCGCCGTGCTGGACGTTTGCGGCCTTGCCTCGCTGCCCTTCGCGCGGTGCTTCCTGGCCGACGACGGCGTGATGGCGACGTGCTTGGCAGTCGTAGTTCGTCGTGACTTCGACGTGCTGGTTGGGGCCGCTTGGTTGTCAACGTGGTCAGGTTGTTCTGTCAGTTCGCCGCTTGTCTCGTCGGCGTCGCCACGCGGCGCGAGGGCTGCTCCCTCGCCGAACTTGCGAGCTTCTTGGGCGAACGGTGCTGCGACGTCGCTGCAGCTGCGAACGGTGCTGGGGCGGCGCGCGACGCCGACGCGGCGCGGCGGCCCCCCGACACCCCCGCGGGGTCTTCGCGATGACCAGCCGAGGCTGCACGGGGCACTTGCTTGAAACGCCAGCGCCGTCGAGCCGCGGGCGGGGTAGCGTCGTCTCGCTTTTGGCCCGCCCCTTCCTCTTGCTCTTCCCTCGTGCCCGCCACGGGGCGGGATTGCCCTGGCAGCGCGCGGGTTGCTGGCTCGCCGCTTCCGCGGCGGCCTGGGATGCCCCCGCGCCGAGCTCCTTGACCTTGAGGGCAGGCCGCCCCGCGTCGAGTGGGATTATTCGCGTAGTTTTGATCCCGCACCCTTCCTCTCCTGCTCTCGGGTCCGCGCTGCCTTCCCGGGCCTGGAGGTCATGCGCCTTCCGCGCGAAGCGTGGCCTGTGGGGATTCGGGGCGCTCTGGTCCATATAGGTTGAACCTGCGGTGCGCGCGCGGCCTCTGCGCCGCCCCTGCAGCGGCCGCGCCTGCCGCCGCCGGCGCCGCCGCTTCGGCGGCCAGCCCTGCCGCGGGGACGAGCCGGGGGCTTAGTCTTGCCCGACCTCGTGCCCCTCGCGCCCCCTCGTGCGCGATTCGCATTCAACCTTTCCATGCCATGTGCGTCGGTCTAGATCGGTCGACGCGTTTGAGCTGCGGCTTGTAGGGCACTCACTCATCGCTCATGCTGCGCCGTGCCGCGGCGGGCCTCTGCTTTCGCGCCCCCTCGCCATCTTCGGCGCTTGGCTTTGCGATGCAGGGCTTCCGCGCTACATCCGGGCGCGCGCCGAGTTGGGGCTGCAAGCTGCGCGGCCCCCTGGCGCGCCTTCTTCGCAGGCGCTTGGGATGTGGCCGAGCAGCGGGGGCTGGCTGAGCCCCCCTGGCTCCGCCCTCCTCTGTCCCCCGCCCTGCTTCGGGCCATGGTTGCCCTCGGCCTGCTGCGGGGCTGGCCCCCCATGGCGGCCCTGCTGCTGCTGGGTTTCGCGATGCCCCTTTGCCCCGGCGAGATTCCGGTCGCGCGCTGCCGCGGCCTGTCGCTGCCCAGCGACCGCTTCGAGGCCGGCGGGTGCGCCTTCCTTCCCGCGCCAGCGCCGCCCAGCCGCATATCCCCGCGCCGCGCGCTCGCGGCTGCGACAGGGCGACGGCGAGGCCCCTGGAACTTGCGCCTCAGCACGCGCGCCCCGCCGATCCGCTATCGCCCCTTGGGCAAAGCGGCCCCCGTACTCGGTGGAACCACGTGCGTTCGGCTTCGGGCGCCCCGTTGTCCAGCGTGGCCTCCAGGCCGAACCTCGCGCCCGCTTGCCTCCGAGTCTCTGGGGCAACGGATTGTCACGCGGCCGCGGAAGACGCCCATCGCGTCTCTTGGCGCGGACGTTGGCGGCGGGTCTCCAGCGCGGAGCGCAATCTTCAGGCTGCCGCCACCTCGTGGGTTTTGCCTGCCTTGCCTTCGTTGCCCCGTGCGCGCGTAGCGTTCTATGCTGTGAATAGCGTTTGTCTGGTCGCCGCCTTTTTATTTGCGGGCCCTTCTGCGTGGTCCACGCGAATTTCGGCTGCCCGCCACAGCTTCGCCATTGCGCAAGGGCTTCGAGCGCGGGCGCGGCCGATCGCGCCATTCGGCACGCGGGGGGGGCATCTTCCCTTGATCGGCGCCGCGCGGCCCACGCGCGCCCGCCGGGGCGGGGCCCTCCTGGGCCCCGCCCGCGCGCGCCGGCCGCGGCCTCCACCCGACGACCCTTCGTTAGCGCGGAGCGGGCGAATGCTTTCTCTTATTCTCTTTGCCCGCGCGCGTCGTGATCGTCTGCAGCTGCTTCGGCCCCCGCCCTCTCTCCTCCCTCTACCTCCCCTTCCTCGTCCGACGTCAGGGCCGCTGATCGTGCCAGTTGGCGCGCGGGGGGGCATCTTCCCTTGAGCGGCGCCCCGCGGCCCGCGCGCGCCCGCTGGGGCCCGGCCCCTCTGGGCCCCGCCCGCGCGCGCCGGCCGCGGCCCCCGCCCGACGACCCCTCGCTCGCGCGGGGCGGGGGAATGCTCGCCCCGTTCAGCTCCACTCACGAAAAGCAAGCAGCCTTTGTCAGCCCGCATCGCACCGCCCGCGTCGCGCGGCAGAGCATCGGTGGACACGCGAACGCTGGCACCGACGCGCGTTCCGAGGATCACCGACCACCCGGATTCAAGACATCTACGCGGACGTTCGAAACGTTTTTGTTTTAGGAAGTAATTCCTGGCAGGTTTAATTTGGCATCGGCGTTCGTGCGTCCGCGGTCGAAAGCCGGCCTGGTCGGGCGCTGTCCATTTTCATGGCGCAATCTTGGCTCTTCCAGCTAATCTGACGTGGGATTTGGTTGATGTTGGTTAAATTGCCCTTTAATCGGCCCCGACCGCCTTGAATTGTTCCTTCGAGGGCCTCCCAGGCCTTGCTTCCTAACATGATGGTGCGTGCGCGTGTCGCACAAGCTTGGCGCATCAACTCTGTGTCGTGCGGTTTGGGTGACGTCCAGTCGGATGGGGCCAGCGCCAGGTGAGACGCGTTTGCCTTTCAGTGCCGCTTGCTTGGGTCACCTTGGGCGGTCAGCAATTGAAGTGTTGTTGTTGGAGAGAGGTGCGATCCTGCCATTGCCTCTTCGAGGCTCGTTTGAAAACTTGTTCGTGTGATGGTTCGAGAATCGTTTGCTACGACCGCCGGGCCATGCCCTGACCGGCACGGCCGGGTTTCTCCAGGGAGCGCGCACATTTCTGGCGTTCGTTTCGATACGCGCCCCTTTCATTCCGCTCCGCTGCGTCTAACAGGTCGAGCTCCGGACGCTGCCGTACCTGCAGCCGACTTGGCGCCTGAGCTGCCAGTGGGGCATGCCGCCGTGCGCGCTCGACTGCCGGCCCCCTCGGGGGGCAATGGGAATCAACTGGGTTCGGCGGCAAGCCCGGGTTCGGCTCAGAGGGGGAAGACCTGGCGGCGCCCAAAAAGGGGTATGGCGCGAGGGGGGTCTAAGAAGGAGGCGCTGGGTTGCTAAGGAGGCAGTCGGGGCTCTTACAGAAGCCTCCAGGGCCGTCTAAGAGGACCTTCCGCCTCCCGAGAGATCCTTGCGCCGTCTCAGGAACCCACCTACCTCGCGCCACCTTGTAGGCGTCGGTTACAACAGGTACCAAGATTTCCGGCTATACGACTTTGTTCAACGGCGTTTTTCTTCCCTGATTTCAGCTCTGGGGTTCGTTAGTGGGCACCGGGCCATCAGAAACGGAACCAGGGCAAAAGCCTGCCCCGGGGAAAGGGTCGAGAGGTTTGCGGTCGTGGATTGAAAAATCATGGCGGAGGATGTCAAGATACCGATGCCGCGTTAGATTTTGAGAGTTTTCGTCGCCACGGTCGGATTTTCCTGGGAAGTCTGGCCAGAATGCACTCCAGGAAAAGGCTGGAAATCAACGCATGTATCTGCTGGTTCTCCCAGGTTAGGCGGCGCGCCAAGGGCGGCTCCGAGATGGGGCCCTGAAGGGACCCAGGTTGGATTACCATTTTTCGAGGCCCCCCCCCGTGGTCGTTGCCCTATGGGCGTGGCGTGGTGGAGGGTGCTGGTGCCCCCCGCCTCCCCATGTGGGTGTGGGGTGCGTCGTCGTCGTCGTCGTTGTCGTCGTCGTCGTCTTCGCCGGCGTTGGCGTCGGCGTCGTCATCGTCGTCGTCGTCGTGTTCGCGGCCCCATCGCTCAGGGCCTCGTTTTTGAGCCGCCGGCCATGGGGTCCCGAGGGGATCCTGTCCGCCAGGCCCTGGGGCTTTCCCCCTGGGGCCACCTCTGCACCACTTCTCGGTCGTTGCTGGCGGCCTCCCAGGGCCAGTGGAGGGCCTCCGGGGCCACAAGGGCGGCGAAGCATGTTCGGGCCCTGCTGCCTCCAGGACCCGTCGTCTCCACTCCAAAGGTACAGTCCTCCTTCCATCCCTCTCCCTGCCCAGGGCCACCTCTGCGCCCTCGGTCGTTGCTGCCTCCAGGACCCGTCGTCATTCGGCCAGTGTAGCCGAGTCTTTTCCACCCCAAAGGTACAGTCCCCCGTCCGTCCCCCCTGCTTACACAGGAAGGTGAAGCGGCACCACCACCACCACCACCACCACCACCACCACCACCACCACCACCACCACCACCACCACCAGGGGGGCCGCCTCCAGCGAGGAGGTCCGCGATGCCTTCCCGAGTTGGAGACCAGAGATGCCTCGAGCGGGGCAGGGGGATCACGCCACCAGGAGGACCTCCCACAGCTCCTCGCGGTGGTGGTGGTGACGCCGCTTTGCCCACGCACGGTAAGACATGCCGTGCCTCTGCCCTCCGCGCGTCCTCATCGTCGTCATCGTCGTCGCCGTCGTCGTCGTCGTCGTCACCACCACCACCAGCATCATGATCATCATCATCATGATCATCATCATCATCATCATCATCGTCATCATCGTCAATATCATCATCATCAGCAGCATCATCAGCATCGTCAACATAAGCATCATCAACATCAGCATCATCAGCATCATCGTCAACAACATCGTCATCATCAGCCTCATCATCTTCAGCAGCAGCACCAGCCTCAGCAGCAGCCTCATCATCAGCCTCATCATCAGCATCATCATCAACATCATCAGCAGCATCAGCATCACCAACATCATCAGTATCATCATTATCATCATCATCATCGTCGTCGTCGCCATCATCATCATCGAATACAATCGGACAGCTGCACACAGGAGGCGGTCTGTGCACAAGCGGCATATAACTAGGGCCTCGGAGCATCGCCAAATGCGGACGGATACTAAAAAGCTCTCGAGGCCTGGCCATTCGGGTCAGGCCTGCGCTTCCTCCATGAGGGGCGGCCCACCGACGACGCGCAGCCAGGTGGGTGCCTCGCTGTGGAGGACCGCACACATCCTTCAAGCCATGGTCGCCCCACGTCTGCCAGGAACAGGTCCTGGACATCAGGCCCCGCGGGCACCCGACGTAATTACAGGCCCTACTCCCGACAGAGCGCATGGTGCCCAGGGCTCATCCTACCCCTGGCTGTCTGTTTGCGTCCTTTGCCCTCCCCTGTTTCCCTGAACTGCCTGGATTCGACCTGGGTAGAATTGCGACGGGGATCCGTGGGAGGAGTAGGGAGAGGTAGGTCTGATACGAATTATTTTTCTCGAGCGCGTTGGCAGGGACGGCCCCCATGTCACCACGCAGCCTTGGGCTCTGCTGCAGTTGTCCTTTCACGCTCCCTTTCCCGAGATCTCCGCCAGGCGCCTGGATGTTTCTCGCTCTGACGGCCCTCTTTGTCCGCCACGATCTTCTGCTGCTTCTGCACAGACGTACAGAGCGCCTTCCACCTAAACCCCCGCTCCAGGACACAGTACTTGTCGTTTCCCTCCTCCGTCTCCTTGCTCTTGCGGTGCCGAAGCTGCAGTCAGTATTTTTTGAGCTCTTTGCTCCCCGCGTGCCCAAGTCGTTCGCCATCTTCTCGCCAGACCAGATCGCTTCGGTAAGATGCCGGGGCGTGCGAAAAAAAAAATCACCTTTGGATCTACTGAAATAGTGGTGTCGTGCATTAGATACGATGATCTAGTGTTGTCGCGTGAGTCGTACGAAGCGTGTGAGCGGTGTGCCACGAAACAGGCAAGGGGCCGCAATACGTTCAAAAAGGGTCATCCCAGGACGGAGGAGTGTCCATTAACTTCGCCCGCACTCGAGGCCACAGTATCGTTTCCATTATCTTCGCCTGCACGTGCCATATTTTCGGTCCCATTGTATTCGCCCGCACGTCGGGCCACATTTTCGCACTCATGTGCCAAAGCCCGAAAACGTGCTCGCCTTCCACCCCCCATGGAGCAAAGCTGGATGGGGGCACAGCAGACCTGCCTGGCCCACGAGTCAGTATTACACTTCGGGGGGGAGGGAAGGGAGGGAAGGAGGGAGGGAAGTGGCCGGGGCGCTGCGGACTTCGCGGGTCCTGCTGACCACTACTAGCGCGGAGCCGTAGGGCGCCTGGAGGTGGTGCGGAGCCACCGTGAGGGGGGGCCCTTTTGTCCCCCCCGGGTTTCGCCACCTCGCAGCGGGGAGCTCTGGAACAGTTCTTGCGCGAGCTGCAGCAGGGGAACCCCGACGCCAGTCTTCACTCTTACCTCGACGACACCTATGTCGTGGTGCGTGCTGACCAGGCGCTCTGGGCGCTGGCAGGCTTGCATGCTGCGCTGGCGCCGCTCGGGCTCGAGTTCAACGCGCGGAAGACGTTGGTGTGGCCTCTGGCAGGGGCGCAGGCCATCCCGGCCGAGCTCGCGGGCAACGTCGTGCCGACGCTGCCCGTCCTGGGGGCGCAGCTCCGGGCGCCGGGAGCTGCCGAGGGCGCTGCGCTCCAAAGGTGGGACAACTCCAGCGGGCTCGACGAGGCGGCGGCGCGCTTGGAACGCTTGTGGGCGCGCTTGCAGGAGCTGAGGCAGGGCGGCCTCGCGCGGCAGGCGGCCGGTGCGCTCCTCCAGGCCTGGGCGTCCGACGCCGAGGTGTTCTGCTACGACGCGGTGCTGCGCGGCTGCCGGGAGCTCGCCGAGCGCCCTCTTGGGCCTGAGGCGCGCGAGCTGCCGGGGTTGCCGGCGATGCTGGGCGGCGCCGGTGCCCAGTGGGCCGCCTCCCGCCGCGCGGCCGCCAAGACTGGACTGTCTGTGCGCAGGCATCCCACGGGGTGCGCGGCGACCTTGGGTTCGCCGCTGGAGGACACCTTGGCGGCGCTCCCCGGGGCCGCGGCGACGCTGCAGGAGGCACGCGCCGAGCTCGGGCGCCAGGGGGCGGAGCCAGCGCCGAGCGCGCCCCTGGCGGCTGCGCTGGGGTCCCAGACTCGGCAGAAGGTCCCGGTTGCGGTAGTGCACAAGACAATCCACGCTGCGGCTAAGCGGCGAATGGGCACCCGCGGCCAGGCAGCCTTCCTTTCGGCCGGAGGGCCTGGGGCCAGGGCCCTCTTGCAGTACCCCGGTGAGTCGGCTTTCGCCTTGGGGGTCGCTCGCTGGGCGACGGCGCTCCGACGCCGCCTCCACTTGCCGCGGCCAGAGAAGTCTGGCTTCGAGTTGGCGCGGGCCTCAGCGACCTGCTGCAGCCGGGCGCGCGGGGAGGCCGTCTGCGCCGCGGCGCTCGACCCTGGCGGGCAGTTCCACGCGGCCACCTGCCAGCGCGGCGGCGGCGCGGCCCGGCGCCGCGGCGACCTCGCCCTGGCCGCGGGCGGTCTCGCAGGGCGGTGGCGGCGCTGCAAGCCATTCTACGAGCAGCGCGCCCCGACGCGGGGCCGCGCACGCGACCGCCGGGCGGCCGAGGGGCACAGGGGCCCGATCCTCGAGTGGGCCATCCTTGACGTGGAGGACCCGGGGGAGGACGGCCGCTGGTGGGTGGGCGTGACGGTCCGCCACCCGGCCGCTGGGGGCGCGGCGGGCCGGGGAGGCTTCGCGGCGCGCCGAGCGCGAGAAGCACGGGCGGCGCTCCGGCGATCGCCCGACGGCGTTCGTCGTGGAGTCCGCCTGCCGCCTGGGCGCTGGGGCCTGCGCGGCCAGCGCGGGGCCGGCGAGCAGGCGCCGCGCGGGCGCGGCCGGGCGGCGGGCGGCGGGCGGCGGCTTGGCGCCCGGCGGCGGGGCCGCCCGGCGGTGGGGCCGCGCGGGGCCCAAGCCGCAGCCGCGCGGGCGTTGCTCCGCGCCATCGTCGCGTTCGCCTTAGCGGCACCGCGCGTCGGAATCGATAGGCCCCGGCGGGCGCGCCCCCCGGCTCTGGGACCGGTCGCCGCCGAGCGGCGCGCTGCCCCCGCGGGGTTAGGGAGTTGCGCCCGCCCCCGCCCGCGGCGCTCAGGCGCGCGGACAGACGCGTTCGCCGCGCGGAGGGAAGGAAGGAAGGAGGGGGGGAGGGAGAAAGACGACGAGGATGAAGAGGAGGAAGGTGGAAGGGGGCGGGGGTAGGGAAGCAGGGAGGAAATGGGAGGAGGAGGGAGTGGCGGGTTCGAAAGGGGGGGCTGAGGTGGGCGAGCGAGTGCGGAGGATGTCGGATGGAGTGCGGGCCTCTGGGAACTACCTCCGGAGGACATCAAATTCGAGTGGGCGTTTGCGGTGACTAGTGCTGGGGGCTTCCGGTGACGGGAGTGCGGGCGAGCGCGAGGGATTTTGAATTGGGGGCTGGAGGATGGGAGGGTGGGGTGGCGGGCAGTAGGAGGGAAGGAGGGGGCAGGAGGAGGGATGGGGAAGAGGAGGAGGAGGAGGAGGAGGAGGAGGAGGAGGTGGAGGACGAGGGCGAGGACCAGGACGAGGACGAGGACGAGGGCGAGGATGAGGGCGAGGGCGAGGAGGAAGTGGAGGAGGAGGAGGAAGGGAGGGGGATGGGTGGGGGAGGAGGCAGGTAATGGAGGCAAGCGATTCAGAAAATGCCCCGCCCCCGCGTCGCCCTCCATCGCGTTGATCGCCTCGCCGATGTCAGTTCCCACGCGCACCGCCCACGGCGATGCCGTGGGAGGCAGCCCGTCCTCCGAGCAAGGCGGGGCGCTCTGAATGCCAGGCAGATCCGCAAACAGCTTAGAGAGAAGTTGCGCATGATGCCACGGTCTGCGCGCCCAGCTCTGATACCACCTCAGCCTGCGCACCAAGAGCTGCGACCTCGTGTCCGACAACTTCTGGTGCGCAAACACCTGCTCTGTAGTCATGCTCTTCGGGCTCCCTACCCACTCCGGCACATCACACGATTCGCGGCTTCATAGGGAGCTCCGCCTAAGGCCCCAGTGGCTGGATTCGCGTGCGGCTCCCCGCCCGTTTCGGCACACACACACACACACACACACCTCACACACGTTTCGTGGCCCCACAAGGAAATCCCCCTAATTACGGCCCCAGTGGCTGGACTTGCATGCGGCTCCCCGCCAATTTAAGCACACCCCTCACACGTTTCATGACCCCGCATGGAGCTTCACCGAAGGCCCATGTGGTTGCGTTCGCATGCGGTTCCCCCCCCATTGCGGCACACTCCTCACACGTGTCGTGGCCCCATAGGGAGCTCCACCTAAGGCCCCGATGGCTGAGTCGCATGCGGCTCCCCACCCATTTCGGAACACCCCTCACGGGCTTCGTGGCTCTCCACCCAAGGCTGCACTGTCTGGACTCGCAGGCGGCTCCCCGCCAAGTTTGGCACGCCCCTCACACGTGTCGCGGCCCCACATGGAACTCCACCTGAGGTCCCAGCGGCTGGACTCGCATTCGGCTTCCTGCCTGTTTCGGAACACGCTTCGTGGCTCCATAGGGAGCTCCTTCGAAGACGATCCTCAGAACTGCGGCACACAGCTGCCAATGGTTGGACCCGTCGCCAGGATCATTGTTTTTATGTCACTCCTGTTATGTTTAGTGCCGCATTGGCGCTGGTATATGCCTGGCCTAAAACTGGAGTAATCTGGCCGAGCCTGGTCCAGCAACGCCCCGATTGATCTGCTTAGCCCAGCCTCATCCGGCTCAGTCAGGCCAAATCCTGAACATAATTGGTGCCAGTCCGGCTTTATTGGCCCCGTCCATCTGGCCCAAAAGCCTTCTATCGCTCCCACGGTGAACTAACAGGAGTTACCGCATAGTCCGGACCGGACTAAAGAGGGGGATACGGAAAGGGGATGGTCTGACATCTGTTGCGTACAGTTGGTTTCGACCCCGCCGACGGACACTTCCCTCGATACGTGGACGTCTCCCGCATGGGGACGCGCTGAGAAAGCTAACGTGAACTAATTTACGACCCTCCCTTCGACCGACCCAAATAATCCCAGGTTTTCTTCCGATATGTTTTCCTAACTATCCTATGGTGTTGGGTCCTCGTTTTGAAGAGGGACCGCCCGGCGCCACTCCTTCCGTTCCACCCTCCTCTCATCCCTGCCCCTGCCCTCCATCATCGTCGTTGACATCGTCATCAGCATCCTCTCATCACCACCACCACAACCATAGTCATCATCCCCATCCTCTCCTCGCCATCAGCAGCATCATCATACTCATCATCAGCAGCAGCATCTCATATCATACCAATTCATGCCATATCATACCTTTTTGAACACACATCATAGCAGCTCAACATCATCACCATCACAATCGTCACCATCACCCTCATCATCAGCATCAGCATCAGCATTACCACCACCATCATCATCACCACCATCACCATCATCGTTATCGTCATCATCATCACCATGATAATCATCCTCCTCATCCTCGTCATCCTCATCCGACCCTTTATCTTTTTCCACCATTATCAACATAATCATGCTCATCAACATCATCATCAGCAGCAAATTCATCATCCACATCATCTTCATCACCATCGTCATCATCGTCGTCGTCGGTAGCGTCACCATAATCGGCATCTTCATCATCATCGTCATCTTCGTCATCATCACCAGCAGCATATTCACTAGCATCATCAGCAGCAGTATCGCCACCATCATAATTACGCTCATCATCACCATCACGATCATCATCACCATCACCATTGCCATCACCATCACCACCACCACCACCACCACCATCATCATCATCATCATCATCACCATCATCATCATCATCATCACCATCATCATCAGCATCACCAGCATAAGCATCAGCATCAGCATCAGCATCAGGATCGCCACAGACACACGCGTCGTGGCCCCATAGGGAGCTCCACCGAAGGCTCCAGCAGCAAAGGCCGCATGGCAGTGCCGCCTCCATCTCAGCGCACCTTCAGCACACTCCTTATATGGTTCGTGGCCCCATAGGGAGCTCCACCGAAGGCCCCAGTTGCTGGACTCCCATGTCGCTCCCCGCCTATGTCGGCACACTTCTCACATATTTCGTGGCCCCATAGTCTCACGCTTTGTGGCCCCATAGGGAGCTCCACTGAAGGCCGCAGTGGCAGGGTACGCATGCGGCTCCCCGCCCATCTCGGCATGCCTCTCACACGTTTCGTAACCCCATGGGCAGCTCCATCCAAGGCACAAGTGGCTGCATTCGCATGCTGCGCCGCGCCCTCTTCGGAATGCCCCTCACGCGTTCCTTGGCCCCATAGGGAGCTCCACTCAATGCCCAAGTGGCTGCATTCGCATGCGGCTCCCCGCCCATTTCGGCATGCCCCTCACACGTTTCGTGGCCCCATATGGAGCTACACCGAAGGACCCAGTGGCAGGGTTCGCATGCGCCCCCCCGCCCACTGCGGCACACCTCTTACGGTACACGTTTCGTGGCCCTATCGAGAGCTCCACCGAAGATTTTCCTCAGAATTGCAGTACTCACAACTGCATATTGTTGGGCCCGTCGCTAAGATGAATTTCATTCCGCAGCCCCAGACTTCAGCCCCCCTTCCCCGGAGCCCGGCGAGGGCCCTCGGAGGCCGAACGCGACGAAAATCGTCCGCCGTGATTGTTGTTCAAAGCGTCGGATGTTTGAGCGATCCCTTGGGGCCGGCTTTCATTCTGAGTCGGTTTTGTGTCGTCCCTGGGGTCGGGAAGCGGCCCTCAGAGGCCGAAGACGACTAACAATTGGCCGTCCTTGTGTTTTGCAGCGTTTGGATCTGAAGGTCTCGTCCGACCCGAAGAGTTTTTGTCCCCGACCCCGATTCGAGATCGAATTTAGCCGACCCAATCCGATTCGATTCCGATTTTCGGTCGATCCGATGCGGCCCGACGATTGTATGGCGCTGTTCTGCATCCTGGCGCGGCCGATCCGATTCGACTCTGGCTCCGTGCCGATGCGGCCCGATCCGATTCTCATTCCGATCCCATCTGATTTTCCGATTCGATGCTGATTGGTCCTGTCCCCAGGCCGGGCGCGCGCGGCGCGGTCTGGCTGGGCCACGAGGACGGCACGTTCGGGGCGGCCGTCGTCGCCGCGGGGGGCCCTCCCGCGGGTTCCCGGCCGCCGGCTCAGCGGCGCGCCTGGGGGGGGAGCGATCGCGAGCGGCCGGGCTCCGCTCCCTCGTTCCCTTGCCCCTCTTGCCTCGTCCTTCTCCCTCCTCCTCCTCCTCCTCCTCCTCCTCCTCTTCCTCCTCTTCCTCTTCCTCCTTTTTTTCCTCCTCCTCCTCCTCCTCCTCCTCCCTCGCCGTCCTCCTCCTCTCTCGTCCTCCTCGTTCTCGTCCTCCCTCCTCCTCCTCTTCCTCTTCCTCCTCCTCCTCCTCAACCTCCTCCTCCTCCTCCTCCTCCTCCTCCTCCTCCTCCTCCTCCTCCTCCTCCTCCTCCTAGGTGGCTTCGCTGCGGGCGCCGCAGCCACTGCCCTGGGCCGCGGAGGCCCGCCCGCGGTTGCCCCCAGCGCCACGGCCCGTGCGCGCTCCCCCGGCTGGCACCGCCGATTGCGGCGGCGGCGTGCAGCTGCGCGGAGCGCTTGCGCCGAGAGCGCGACGTGCAGATCCTCGAGTAACACCTCGGCAGCGGCGCCCCGATGGGTTGGCGGCGCTATTCACCTTGGCGTGGTGCTGGTGGTGCTTGGCAGTATTATTCAGGCCATAGCAAGACCAGGGTGGTTCAGTGTGACAACTTCGCGTGCAACGTCTGTTCGGCATGTGGGCACTGGGAGTTCAAAAGGTGGGGGCACAAGCATTGCAGCAGGGGCCAGGCCCCCTACCTCATCCCCGTTCAGCCACCTCTGAGCCTGCAGGTGCTGCGTCCCAGGTTCAGGACCGTGGCGGTGACATGCCCCCAGAGCTGGTTGCACAGCTCCAGATGTGGTCCGCCCGCCTCCCCGCCCTGGCAGAAGTCGTGCAGGAGGTGGCGTCAGCGCCGACCCCGCCAGCCACCGTGGATCTGTCCCCCATGGAGCTGGACCACCTGGCGTCGGCGCAGCCAACGGGCTTTGCACAACTATGCGAAGGCGCGGCCAAAGCGGGGAGGTTTTCATAGCAAGATGTACAATGGAAGTTGGAGCACCTCAAGAAGATTCGGAATTTGCTGACCGAGCACCAGGTTGCCTACAACGATGCGATGGCTGACTTGCAGCGCGCCGCCGAGGCGAAGGCGGCAGCTGATCAGGCCACCAACACGTCCGACCCCAATGCGTTCAAGGTCCAGAAGCAGCAGGAGGTGGCGGCGCAGCGCGTTGCAGCCGAGGAGGCCGCCCGCGCGGCCCGCGCTGCGGCTCAGGCTGCGGCCCCAGCCCCCGCCGCGGCGCCAGCCCCTGGGCAGGCTGTCCAGGTGGGCGGCCCTCCTCCTGCTGGTGGCGCAGCTGGTGGCACGCGTGGTGCTGTGCGTCCTGAAGCCTCTGGCGCTCGCGAGGCGCATCCCCCGTTCCCGCCCAACATCACGCGCTGCATCTCCAGACGCGCAATCGACTAGAAATACGTGGAGTCGAACCTGCATAAGTTCGATGGTAGTCAGCTGGAGCCCCCGGTATCGTGCATGCACTACGGTCCCCCTCGACCAGTGGAAGAAGTTCCGCGCTCGCATCCAGCGGCGCGAGCAAGTTCAAGCAGGTGGCATCGACGGGGGCGCCGCGAGTGACGTCGGCAACGGGGCGGGGGATCCGCCGGGGCGGGAGGAGCTCGCCAACCTCGAGAATCGCGCCGCGGAAGCCGGCCTCGATGCAGTTCAGGCCCGGCGGCGCCAGACCTTTTTCACGACCCTGGCGGGGAGTCGGTTTGCTCGGCACGCTCGCCGCGCCGAGGCTCATTCCCACGAAATGTTCAGAGCCTGTTGCACAGCTGCCTCTCGGAGCCCAGAGCCAGGTTCCGCAGCAGGCAGCGGCCAGCAGCAGCTTTGACAGGGGCCGAGCCCGACAGGGGGCGATGGGCGCACTTGCATACGTCTCATTCAAGCTTGCGAACAGATCTAGGCGTTCAAATTTGGCCCAGGATTTCTTATCGATTAAGGTTGCTGAGGTCGATCGGCTCTTCATGGCTGAACACCTCCGTGATGACGCAGATCTGTTCCGCGCGAAGCAGCGCTACCGGCAGTTGCGTTGCCCCCCCCCCCTCCCCGCGCGCGCGCGGCGCCGCGGTTCAGCCCGGCCTCTGCATTCGGCAGTTATTGATTCAGACCATTGCGGTGGTCCAGGTGGGCTCGAGGACCTGTTGGTTCTTCTTGGAGATGGAATGCGCGTCTTGCGCGATTGCCGTTCGATTGAGATACCTGGTTGCGCCCGTTGGGGTCTCTGGGGGGAATGTGTTTCGCCTCAGGGATGTGGCCGAATTTCTGGACGCGCTCGCTGCGATCTGGGCCCCGATGGGGGATGTCAATTCGGCGCTCGATCTCTCGGGGGGGCCCGGAAATTTGGAGCCCGTTCGTGGCCGAGCGGTTGTGCCCGATGATGTTTCGTTTGCCTGTGATGCGGGTGGGGCCATGATCGATTATGTCATGCGCAGCGAGTGTGCGCCCCCGTCTCTCAAGGTCCTGGCGGGCGCCGCTTCTCCGTTCAAAACCCACGCGTGCCTGGGCGCCTCTCGGGGCTGGAGGGCCGGGGCCCACGTCCACCTCCGTCTGTCAGAGGCGGGCGCCGCTGCGGTTTCCCGAGGCCTACGGCCCCGACGAATCGCGGACGTCCTGCGTTGCTGCCGCTGGGCTTGCGCTGCTGAGCGATTCGTTGAAGACCTCGTCGGGCGCGCCGGAGTCCCTCCCGCAGCGTGCCCCGGGGCATTTCGACCCCCAGTTGGGCGTCCAGTGTCTCGCTTGGTCTCGAGCAGTTGAGCTTGCGATGGTTTCTCGCGCTCGCGCTATCGCCGCTGGCCCCCGCCCCCACTTTGGGGGAGGGGCGGCGGTTCAGCAGCGAGAGTCATCACTCTCCCGCAGAGGCCCTGGTGCACAATGCTTTCGCTGCCCGACACTCGCCTTCTGGCCCATGGTTGCGGCCCGTCTGGTTGAGCATTGGCGGCCCCTGAAGGCCCCGTTTCAGCGCCTGCGCCAGGCGGCAGCGGGAGGTCTTGAAAGGCTTGCGCCCCCAGGTGCAAACTCGCGCTGAACCTGCCACTGGGCTTGCGCTGCTGAGCGATTCGTTGAAGACCTCGTCGGACGCGCCAAAGTCCCTTCCGCAGCGTGCCCCGGAGCATTTCGACCCCCAGTTGGGCGTCCAGTGTCTCGCTTGGTCTCGAGCAGTTGAGCTTGCGATGGTTTCTCGCGCTCGCGCTATCGCCGCCGGCCCCCACCCCCACTTTGGGAGAGGGGCGGCGGTTCAGCAGCGAGAGTCATCACTCTCCCGCAGAGGCCCTGGTGCACAATGCTTTCGCTGCCCGACACTCGCCTTCTGGCCCATGGTTGCGGCCCGTCTGGTTGAGCATTGGCGGCCCCTGAAGGCCCCGTTTCAGCGCCTGCGCCAGGCGGCAGCGGGAGGTCTTGAAAGGCTTGCGCCCCCAGGTGCAAACTCGCGCTGCACATCTCGAGGGCCCGGGCGAGGCTATGGCTTGGGAATCGCGACTGAGCGATCCGCCTCATAATCGCGAGGATGTTTTCCTTACGGTTGATAGTGGTTCTGACATTTCCGCACGTGCGTGGGCACATGCGCAGTCGAGGCAGGGCAGGCGTACATGGCCTCAGCGGGCTCTCCCTAGCGGCGCTAAGAGAGCGCGCGCGTATCTCAAAACCGAAGAACGGATTCACGTTGAGTATTTTGACACACCGTCTGGAGTAGTCAACGACCCTGTCTCGATGATGCGCCGCGTGGAGAAGTTCCCGGGCAGTTGGTGGACGCCAGATACTCAGGTCCAACGCTTTACCGATGCCTCTTTTGCTGAACTGGGAGCTCTCGCTCAATTGTCCTGTCTGGATCCGGAGTCTCTCCAGGTGCAGGACGTCGCGCGCGCGTGCTTGTCTTTCTTTTCGCGCACCTCGGTTGGCTGTGGGCTCCTAGGTTTATCCTGTCCTTGCCCACGACCGCCCTCGAGCAGCTCGCGGATGCGTTCGCGGGCATCGAGAACGCCCTCGCGTTTCCGCAGCCGCGCCTGCTTTGCGCGATGGCCACGCTGCCCGAGGCTATCAAGGAGGAGAGAGCCATTGCCAAGCGTCCTACAGTTTTCCGTATCTCGCAATGCTAGGGGCCACGACATCGCCGTCTGGAACCGCGAACGCATGGAGTTCTGGGACACGGCTGCGAAAACATCATCGGCCTTGAAGGCCGCTCTGTCCAGAGAAGTCTGCCACGCGGTTAACCTCCCCTCTGGGGTGTCGGCCGTCTCTGGCCGACTGGGACTGGGATATGGGGAAGTGTTGTTTGATTGTGTGTCTCCCTGCAGGTTGATGCACTTCGCCATCGCGCATCAGTATCCGGCCCGCCTCCTGCGCTTGGGTTTCCTCGTCCACGCGGGTCCGCGGGCTTTGGGGGTCTCTCGGATGCGCTCTGGGGCCCCTGAAGGCGGGGGGATCCATCTTGGCAGGTTGTGCGCAGAGTATGCCTGGAGTGATATGTTATCTGCGCTACGTTCTGGAGCTAGCGCATAAAAGGGGTTCCTCGGTTTCCGTGCTATTCCGCGCGCGCGCGTGCCGATGCGGCCACAAGTTGACGGCGCTACCCAGCGCCTCCACGGCGCCCCTGAGTTTGAGGCCGCATGCTTTCCGCCCGCGGTCGCCGCCTGTCGCGGGGGCGTTGACTGAAGAGCTGGGCTGCCTCATTCCTGCAAGGTCTGTTGCTATGGCGTCTAGCAAGGGGCTGGAGCGACTGATGCTCCTCGACTTTCAAGAAGTTCGACCTGTCTCTCCCCTTCGCCTCCTCCGTCAAAGATCTCGGCGCAGTGGCCGCCGTTGGTGAGAGACGTTCGACTTGGAAGCTCAACGTTATACAGTGGATTACGTTTCGAAGATGCAGGCAGCTGAAACATCAGGCCAGTCTCAGCGGGTGATCCGGGAACGTCTTCAAACCGGGCATCCTCTCGGTAGGCTCGCGGGGCCTTGGGGTCTTGGGCCTTCCGTGCTACGAACTCTAAAGGGTCCGCGCGCAATCTGCCGCGTGCTCAGGGCGTTGGAGCCCAGGTGCGCGCGCGGCGTGTGTCCTCCATGCGCGGGGGGGACTACAAGGATGACCCGATTTGTCGCCATCGGGGAGAGCAGCTCACAACTCGCGGGGAGGTCTGGAATGCCCTCCCACCAGGTATCCAGACATGCGCACGTAGAGCATGGTCTCGCCTCGTCGGTGTTTTCGCCAAGAAATCTGGAGCTCGTGCGCGGCCCGATTGCGGGTGTATGCGCTGCCCTCCTGGACTTGGAGTGGGCTCCATGATTTGTTGATGTGCGGGAGGTCCCTGGGCAATCGTTGCTTCGTCTTTCTGATCTTGATGTGTGCCGTCATCTTGTTCGTCTTGTTCGCGTGACCTGTTCGGCGCAGGTGCGGGCGAAAGCTGCTGCTCATTTTTGCGCTCAGGGTCTGGGGCACGGTGCCGACTTCGTTGCCATTCGCTGTCTACATCGCAGCCCGCCGAAGGAGCGGGATTTCCAGCGGGCCGCGATGTTCGCGAACATAGCGGTTGGATCGCGCTGGCCAGATGACCGCCTCCAATACTCAGGATCTGCATCGGGCGGGAAGTCTTACGGATGCGCCGACAATAGGAAGTCTCACGGATGCGCCGACAATAATGAAGATGTGGAACATAGATGCTGGAATTGTCCGTATAATGCACGATTGCATGACACAGCGGTGTTCACTATTGCATACCTTATCTTCAAGCTGACGCTGTCGCTCCCGACTCCGCTTTCTGGGCCCGAGGGCTACCATCGCTGGCAAGTAAGGCGGGGCTGCCCACCCCCCACCCCCATGCTCACGCGTGGTCCTGAGGGCTCTGTGGGCCTCAGCAGGCAGTCGATGGCGGAGTCTGGGGAATCGATGGATCTGGAGGTAAACGTGCTCAAGATGATCGCCTGAGGAGATGTGGGTGGTCCGCGGTGCGCCTCGGGGCCCCCCATGAAGGCCAGCCTCGTCTCAGCGCAGTTTGTTGCGTCAGCCGCGTCAGCCTCCCCACGTCCGAGCAGTCCAGTCCCGGGGCAGAGTTGTTCGCCTTCCTGGTCCTTCTGAACGACGGCGCTGGAGATATCGTTTGTTATGCTGACTATTTGCCTCTCTGCCGCGCTATGTCGAGGTCGCGGGCCCACGTCTCCCAGCATTCGCCGGTGCTCGATCGGTGGGCCCAGGTCTGGAGTGCGAACGATCGGTGAGGTGCAGGTAAGATCGCGGCGCCGTGGACTGAGCCACATGCGACAGGAGTTGCCAGCAACGTCCGCTACCGGTCCAGACGAATATTTCTTACTTGGGGGGCTGATTTCTGTGCTGGGTGGGCGGCGGAGTCGTCCACAATCCCGCATCATGTTGTGCGGTAGACTTCAGATTGCGATGCCCTCGCCCATTTTGCGCCGTGTAGATTGCTCGCCACCGACGTGGAGGTGGCCCATCAGCGCGGGCGCCTCGCAGCCCAGCGAGTTGGACGTGATGCACCGAGGTCCCGCGCCATGTCTCCCTTCGGTACCAGGCGGGCCCGTCTTAGAGAGGCGGGGCATTCCTGTGTCAAGAGCGGTGGAGTTCTTTGCTGTCAGATCTGCGCGTTGATGCGGGGCCCCCTGAAGCGTTTCCCCCCTGGTCCGCGCGCTGGCCCAAAAGTTAGGGCCCCAGGGGCCCCTTCTGGACCGCCCGCTTTATCCCGGGACCCACGGTTTCCATCGACTCTTCTGTGGCCCGAGGATTTTGTTTTGTGCTCATTGTGGCGGCGATGGGGCCGTCAATTCGGTGAACCTGAGGAGGCGACGCCCTGCCCACCCGCCCAGGACAGGAAAGGGGGTGTTCAGTCGTTTGGCCAAGGGCCTGTCGCCCAAGAGCGGTGTCTCGTTCACTGAGGCCTACGTGTTCGAGCGTGCCCTGGCTTGACCAGGCCCCCGCGCCCCCCCGAACCGAACCGAATCCTCCTCTTCCTCCTCCTCCTGGTCCTCCTCTTCCTCCTCTTCCTCCTCCTCCGCCTCCTCCTCCCCATTCTCCCCCCCCTCCTCCTCCTCCTCCTCCTCCTCCTCCTCCTCCTCCTCGTTCTCGTCCTCCTCGTCCTCCTCCTCCTCCTCCTCCTCCTCTTCCTCCTCCTCTTCCTCCTCCTCCCCCTCCGCCTCCTCCTCCCTCTCCTGGTCCTCCTCCTCCTCGCCATCCCCCCCATCCTCCCCCCCTCCTCCCTGGTTTCCTCCCTTTTCCTATTTCTCACCGCTGCAGCTGCTCTTCGGGCGGCCGGGGCAGAACGACGTAGTTTTTCTTTGGCTTTCGCGCTTGTGTTCTGTTCCCGTTTCGATGAGCGTGCCATCCATCCATGCGTGCATTTTCCTTGTCCTACTCCTCCCTTCCTCCTTCTCCCCAGCCCCCCCTGCCTCGCGCCCTCCTCCTCTTCTTCCGCGCCCCCCAGAGGGGGGGGGGAGGCGGGGGGGAGGTGGGAAGGGGGGGATGGGGAGAAACAGGATGGGCGGGCGGAGGAGGGCGCGGAGGACGAAGTGGGAGGGAGAGCGGGGGAAAGACGAGGAGGAGGACGAGGAGGAGGAGGAGGAGGAGGACGACGACGAAGAAGAACAGGAGGAGGGGGAGCAGGGGCAAGGGGGAGGAAAAAGGGGTGGAGGAGGAGTGGTTCGGGGACGGGAGGGGAACTACAAGGTCGAAGGCAGAAGATGAGAGGATGGGCAATGACGCGGGGTGGTGACGTTGACGAGAACGGGGAGCGAGGACGGAAAGGAAGGATGGTTCGGCTTACCTCGTTGGATTCCGTTGTACAACCCTCCCCTCAATGTGGACTACCCATTTACCATGACCCGGACTTCGGTGACACCGAGCCCGGCCCGCGCGGAACGGGCGTGACACTTGCATTCTGGCGACACGCTTGTCTCGGAATGATGCTCTGGCTTGTGCGTGAGCCACATCTCTGATTTGCAATGTTGTTGCCGTCTAGGCGCCAACGACATCCTTCATGGAGCGCGTTGTTCTCGCCTGTGCGTGGACCACATGATGTGACACATCTCTGATTGAAAATGCGGTTGCCGCTTGATTCAGCGCCAGCGACGTCCTTGATTGCTCTCGCCCTGGCGCCGGCCACATCCGTGATTGAGAACGTTGCTCTCGCCACTGCGCCGGCCACATCCATGATTGCGAAAGTTGCTCTTTCTTCAGCGCCGGTCATATTCTTCATTGGAATTAGTGATACAGTTGGCCTTTTTGCATTGCATGTTGCTGTGTCGCCCCATTATGGTGCATCATTTGCTACAGCGCGCGCGTGACACACTGGTGTCGCCGAGCCGTTGGTCACGTTAGCTTTAATGGGTGAGGTTAGCTTTGGCGCATTGTCGACAGGGCTCGGATCAGGTTGAGTTCGGGATTTGCCACGTTAGGAGTGTGCGTGTGTAATGTTTGAGACTTTTGCTCCCTTGAGCGCCTGAGCGGTGCCGTTGTCCGCACACCAAAAGGCTCTGGTGGACAAACACACGCTAGCGTTTATTCCTTGTCATCGAGAGCATGAAACGCGGAAGGAATAATGACGATGAGGAGGAGCAAAGAGGAGGAGGAGGAGGAGGAGGAGGAGGAGGAGGAGGAGGAGGAATGAGGAGGAGGCTGAGGCGGAGGAGGAGAAATGAGGAGGAGAATGAGGATAAAGGAAGACGAACGAGTACGAACGAGGATGGTAGTCAGGATGGGACGAAGAAGGAAGAACAAGGAGAAAGGAGGAAGAGGAGAGGGCACGGGGATGATGAGTATGAGTAGGACGAGGGCCGAGCAGTAGGAGATGGAGGAGGAGGAGGAGGAGGCGTGCCCCTTCCCTTCTCTTCTACACCCAAGAGGCTGAAATTAGGATCACTTCCGGCCCAGGAGCGGCTCTGTCTCGGACCGTCCTTGAGATCTTGTTCGGGGAACCTCTTCGTGGCCGAGGCCCGCCGTGCTCAGCAATGGCCCAGCCGTTCCTCATGCAGCGTTCCTTATATATGGCAGCACGATGGCTGCCCCCCCCCTTTTCCCACCGTCGCCCCATCCTCTCCCTGGGCTCGTGCACCAACCAGGCGGGCCCCGTTGGACAGTCCTCTGGGGCGCCCCTGCCGGGGTGCCCGCCGCCACCCCGTCGCGGTGGCCCGCCGTCCCTCCAGGGTGGTTGGCAGTCGTCACGGGGTAGACGTGCCCCGAGGCCCCCCCCCCCTGCGACACTCAGTCCACACACGCAGTCCTCACCTCCCCGCTCCTCCCCTGGCCCCCGCTCCTCCGCGCCATCCTCCCCGCCGTCCCTTCATTGGGGCATCGCGGCGCCGTCGCCGCCGTGCGGGGAGGAGGGGAGGGAGGACCTTCGTCCACTTGTCGCCAAAGACTGGCGTCGGGAAGTTGGAAGGAAGACAGACCAAACATCGGAGGACCCCTTCGGCAGCTGACGGCTCTCTGAGTCGGGGGTGTCGTTGCATCCCAGATCCGCCAAGCATCCGCTTGGGCACGCGTCACGAAGGGTAATTTCGGCCTGGAGGTTGCAATGCAGAAGCGAGCACTAGCCGAACGCCGCTTACAGGGGCAAGTGGCAGTTGTAGGAAGGAGGCGGCAGTCTGCCAGCGAGGGGAGTCCGAGGTCAGCCGCGTGTCTGACCTAGCGGATCGCGTCCGCTTCGCCGCCGCCCTGAGTGTTCAGGAGACGCGCATCGGCAAAAGCCGCACTACGCTGTGCAAGGATGGGCCCAGTTGCAGGCATGTGATCAGAATGATAAAGGTATGTACGAACCGCACATGCTCATGTTTCTGTTGGTCCAATCTGGGTGGTGCCGTGCAGTGAAGCAGTTTTGTGACAGCTGGTTGTTCGACGCACTCATAATTGTAACGCCGTCCTCGACCGTTCACGCCCAGGGGTTTCATGAGATCCACGTGGTCCAGCCCGGTGCCCCCCACATGAATTCCGAGATCCAGATGAACTCTGATCCCATCACAAGACCCTCGGTCGGCGGGAACGGCCGTTCTTTCGGCGAGAGTGCATGCTCGTGAGGCGGCGGCAAAGGCTGCGGCGCCCTCCTCGCCCTCAGGCAGATAGCCAGAGCTCAGAGAAATCGGTCAGGCCACGATGCCCCATCTTGGGCCGTGTCGGAAGCATCGGAGAGCCTTGCAGAGTCCCGGGGAAGCTTGGGGCTGCCCAGTCAGCCTCAGGATGGTGTGGGGGGGGGGGGGGGGGCAATTCCCGCTGCTAGCCCACGTGTTCTAGAATTGCATGCGAATTTTATGATGCTTCGGCCTCTCGAGTTTTACGGTCGCCCCCGCCGTCGTCGTCGCCGACGTGGCCGCCGTCGGCGCCGCCGTCGCCACCGCCGTCGCCGCATCCGTCAGTCGGTCGATCGGTCGGTCGGTGTGCCGGTCGGTATATTGTAGCCGACGTCTTGGGTTTGGTTAGTCGAATTGGTTCAAGCTACGACTGGGCAGGTTCTTCCGTCCGGTATTTCACACGCACACACACATACGTAATCCAAGTATATCCCCAAAGTTCCATTCTAAGCGATGACAGCCCAGAGGATACCCAGGGCTGTGTGGTCAGTGGTGCTGGTTGCCCACAGCGTACCCACCGCGATTTCCACGTCAGGGAGCGCGTTGCCGAGTGGAAGGCGCGTGCCAGGAATGGACGACACTCCCGACAACTGCAACATGATTAACACGACAAGACAGGAAAGGGTTTCATGTAACGGGTACTACGATTCTTGTGGCAATGACGCAAATATTGGGCTTGTGGCTGGGGTTGCGCGCGCGAGGTGAACCGTGCGCGCTTCTCCCCTGTGGCGTCCCCTGTTCCGGCCGCGCCCACAGCGCCAGCTCGAACCAGCGGGCGGCCGGCGGCAGCGGGCACGTGTGCGCGTGCCGCGCCCGCGCCGCCTCGGCGAGCTGGCCCCGCCTCGTGCCACAGCGCGTCTCGTGCTGGGCTGGCACGGCTGAGCGAGGACCCGTTTCCCTCAGGACCCGTTTCCCCCATGCGGAGGTCTGCCCCCAGGCGGCGCGAAGAGGACCGCGCGTCGCGCGTCGAGGTCCGGGCCAGAGCGCCCGCCCCTCGAGAGGGAGCGGCGCGAGGGCGCGGAGAGCCGCGCGGGCGCGCACCGCGGGGCGCGATGCGCGAAGCTGGGTGGCCTGAGCATCGTCTAACCGGTGCCCAGTATGGGGATCGGCTGCAGAATGCATTCGCCCCAGAATTGTTTGCCCCGTCGAATATACGAACGAATGCGTAGAACGCTCTGTCGATCTACGGAGCATTCCGGTTAATTTTCGTAGACTCGGCGGAAAAACAATTCGGGGTAAATCAATTTTGGAGTCGATCCCTTACTCGACTTCTGGCAGGCTGGGCCATGGTGTCTCAGCCCCACCAGTCCCGCATGCCCAAAAGGAACAGCACATATTCCCACCTTGAGAGAGGTACAAAGGCAGCCCGTGCTGGGTGCTGTGGAATCGCTAGGGTTTGCCGATGCTTTTTGACGGGCACGTCCTGAGTTTTGACGGTCCGGTTTTCATCGGATGCTTGCAGCGGGAGCTCGCGCCAAGTTTCAGATCGGGTCTCGCGCCAGTTTTCCAGACGGCCCCTCCAGGCCAGCCCGAGTCCTCCAAGCCCGGACTTTAGTTCTCCCCGACAGTGGGGCCAGGGCCATGCCAGGGGTGCTGCCAGAAGTGTTCTTCCTGGCCCAAGGTGTCCCCAGGATTTCCAAGGGGTCCCCCACGGCATCCAGAGCACCCCTCGCGAGGCCCAGAGGGCTCCAGGGGCTCCAAGATGCGAGCGAAAACCCAGGGGCACCATGGGCCAGGGACACCTTAGCCACCCCCGAGTGCCAGTGCGGGCGGGGCTCGGCCAAGCGGTGCTCATGACTCAGGCTGCCCGTTCGTGTGCCTTCTGCTCTGGCACCGCCGCGCTGCTCCGGCGTCGCCCACGCCGCCGCGGTGGCTCGAACCGAGGGGGGCGGGCGGGGTCGGGCGCGTGCGCGCCCCAGCCGCTTCACCCCCGCGCACGCTGTCTCTCGCTGGCGCGCCGCGCTCCCGCCTCCCTTGGGAGGCCTGGAGGTTAGCACATGCACACATGCACCAACATCGGCGGGCTGCCTCCGCCCAGGGAATATGATCCCGATCTCGGTGACGGTGGTGACGGGCTTCTCACTTGGGTGGCCAGAAAATTACCACCCGGCATCAGAGTCCACGATCATCTTCCCCCGGTGGGGACACCTCCCTGTGTTGGTGTTGGTGCCAATGCGCAGGCATCCAGTCCCTGCCAGAGCTCAGGGGCAGCGTCAGGATGAAGCGATGGTCAGGATCAGGGTCAGGCTCCAGGGTTCGAGGGCTCCGAGGCTCGAGAGATTCGAGGCTCGAGGTTTGTCGGACGCCTTCGGAATCGTCGGTTCTCGGCGGTTTTCCAGCCTCGGGATGCTTTCAGCGGCTGCGCCTCGCCGATGGCCTTCTGTGGGTGCTCGGATCGCCCCGAACGGCCGCCCGAGAGCCGAATTGCGTATGACCCGAAAGCCAGGTGGTAACGTTAGGGGGGGCATAGGCTCAAGGGGACGCATCGACCCCGCAATCGGCCACTCCTCTTCGATCGGAGACCGATGGCCGGCCCACCTCGCCCAGGAACGCCGGGTTTCGCTGTCGGGGCCTACTGCCGATCTATCGGCGATGCATCGCCGATTCCAATTCAATGGTCCCCACCCTAATCCAGTCAACCCCCCTTGACGTTCCTTTGCAGCCCTGCCTCCCTGCCTGAGCGTGCCACAGTCGCTTGCGCGCAGGAGTGACCCGTCGTCGCAGTGGCCTTCGGCCGCAGCGCCGCTCGACGATGTGCCGTTGACAGAGCCTGCAGGGCGGGCCCTCTCCTTTCCTGTGCGCTTCGGCCTCCTCTTCGGCTTCGGCTGTGTGTGCACTTCGAGGCGCCTTCGGTCCAGCCCACCCGAGTCCCCAGCCAGCTTTCAGCTCGCACGGGTGCGTCCCTCCCTCGCGGGATCCTTGGGGTCCCCCGATCGCTGAACGTGATGCGTTAGCAGCGGCCTGCGCGCTTGGGTGCCCCTCCGCGCGCCCCCAGGCCGCGCACCAATGGACACAACTGCCCAGGGCCAATCCTGCGTGCGGCTGACAGAGACGGCAGGCGATCTCTCGCCCCCACTTCGCTCAGAGACTGGAACGCCTCCAAGGGCGGAAATGGATCCTTGTCGGATCCTTTGATAAGCACAGCGTGCACATAGATGGGGAAAACGACGAGGCGACGACGACGACGGCGACGACGACGACGACAACGACGACGACCACGACGACGACCACGACCATGACCACGCCTACGACCACGACCACGACCACGGGGAAGGCTGAGAGGAGAAGAGGGGGACAGGGCGGAGGAGCATCTCCAAGGGCACAGCGGCCCGTGAGGGTCGTCACGTAGCGGCCACCACGCTCAGCCTCGGCGCCACAGGGGGGCCACCTAGGCAATCGTGGTGTTTAACGAGAAGGGGCGCGGAGGAGGAGCCCATCCGACCACCGCACATCCACGTGCGCCCGCTTCGGGCCCATGCCCTTGGCGGGCTCGTGGCCCTTCCGGCCCCGGCCAGTGGGGGGGAGGGCGGGGGGCGCCGCCCAACGGAGGTCCGAGCCGTCGAGCCAGGGTGGGCTCGGTTGGCGTTCCCTCTGCCGATGGTCCGAGGCTGGGATTCATCCGCAACCGCCGCCTGGGAAACCGATCGATCTTTCTGGACCTCGGGAGGTGGTGGATGAGGCTGCGCCCCCGCCTCGCAGACGGGGCAGGGGCGGCGCCCGTCGTCCCGCAGGCGAGACCTCGCCCCCAATCCTCGATGGGTCCGCCACAACAGAATTGGGCCTCAGGGGCGGGTGGCTGTATGCCAAGCGCTTGCTGCGAGCCAGCGATGTAACGCTCCGCCATCCTCCTTGAAGGCACGCAAGCGACGCAGAACAACGGGTTCGAGTACGCGTATTTTCAAGCGTAAGCTTCTCGCGTAAGGTCCCGCGTGAGCGCCCTCTCTTCCACGCGAAGTGCCACGTTGCCGGCCCGCGTAAATCGCGGTGTAAGGTCTCCATGTCGCCTCGCGCAGTGCTCGTTTCTTTTCGTCGCTCACGTGGGAAATTCGTCGGCGGTTGTCTTTGCATGTCTTCTCGTGGCGTTGCGGAGGCCACTCCTCCAGAGCCCCCCCCCCCCCCAAGAGGGTCGTGGCAGAGTGGCGACGGCTGGTCGCCCACAACAGCGCCCGCCGCACTACAGGGGAGGGCGAGAGAGCAGGGGGTAGCGCGGGAGAGATCAGGGGGTAGCGCGGGAAAGAGAAGGGTGGTAGCGCGGGAGAGAGCAGGGCGCGGGAGAGAGCACGGTCCTCGTCGGCCGCCCGCGGGCAGCCGCGCGGAGACACGGACGTGTCCGGGTGTGCGTTGGTTGGGGGGGGGGGTGCTTCCGGACAATGTAACTGAAGAAGGGTTATAATGGTGATAAAAAACTTCAATTGTCCAAAACAGCTCTTCCGGACAATTGCAATTACAAACCTGCTATACAAACGCAATTGTCCAGGACCACTCTGTCGGACAATTGCAACTGCCACCCCTGATCCCAACACCCTGGAACGCTATAGACCCCAGTTCGGGGGAACTCTTCACA